CATTTTTGGCTACATACTAGAGGTTTTTCACAAAGATTTTATGCTCATTTTATAGAGAATTTTCAGCTCTACAACATAGAGAAATTTATTTTGTATGACCATTTAAAGCAAATCTTTCTGAGTACTTCATGTAGAAAAATCATGCTTTTTAAATGACGGCTTTTAAGGGTAGTGAGATAAAGTATTCTGCATTTTTAGGCATGTGTTGCAATGTTTTTTTCAAATTTTGTATGCTCATTTTATAGAGAATTTTCAGCTCTACAAAAGGACAAAACTTATTTTCTGGCCCCATCCAAAAGAAAACCGTTATGATAAATTTTATGTGAAAAAGCCATGTTCTTTAAATAAGGACTTTTGAGAGTAATTTGGACATATTGCTTCAACGTTGCATCGATAAATCTGCTCTAATATATCATTTTGTTCAGTTTTTAATTCTCTTTCGAATGAACTATTGCTCAAAAAGATTAGACATGTCGTGTTTGAGTTATAGTTAAAATACTGAAAAGTTGTAAGAGACATAGGTGTGTTCGAAAAATGTTCGGGGTCCTTCGAAAAAAACGTCATAATTTCTCAGTCGAAAGACATCGAAAGCTCAAAATTTGGATTTACGCGTTATTCGGTATGGGGAATCGAATGAGAACACTTTTAGAGAGAAAAAAAATTCAACTTGTTATGACTATTCTCGATGACCAAATGGACTATCTCTTAAATAGTCAACATGATTTATATCACTAATGTTTTTTTCTGTTTTTATAGAACACATTTTTGTCGAATAATTGACATTGAAAGACTGTCACTTTTTAAGCAGATAATAAGTGAGCTTATTTCTTATCAGTTTGATTGTGCACTATAACGTACGAAAGGTTGCCGAAAATCTAGCAATGTTTGCACGCATACAGAAAACGTTATCTAGGATCATGACGGATCAAGCAGGTGCTAACATAATTTATTTATTTACTTGAAGCACCATATTTGCTCTTTTAGTTATTAGAACCCATTGAACAGCATCGATCCCAGCATCCGCGAACATCAACTGACGATAATGAATCAACGCTCAAACCAAAGGGTAATAAGGCTTGGATGGCTTTTTCGCAAAGTCTTGTTTATTAATAGTTAAGCACATTCTTTCTCTCATCATTTAAGAAACAAAAACTGGAAAAGTTGACGACAAGTTGCAACACTTATATACAACGCTTGAAGAACTGGAAAATGAACAAGCTGAACTAAAACATAAATTAGGATCGTCGAATTTGTTATCAGAAGAAAATAAAAGATTTAAAGAAGAGAATAAAATGATTCGTCATGAAATGTCAAATGTGAAAATGACTCGTCTACGTAAGCTGGATTTGCATCTTCTTCCCTAATTTCTTTTTTTTCTATCTTTCTTAGCTGAGCCGACGTCACCAGTTTATGAATGGATTCATGGTGTTCTTGATCATGTAAAGACGGTTGAAGATTTGAAAAAAACTGAACTAGATGTAGTGAGTCACCTTTTTGTATTTGTTTACAATTACGAGTGCTGGTTTTATTTCTTATAAATGTTAACAGGCTAGTGTCATGCTTCCATCGACAGCTCAACAAGTGAAACAATGTTTACAAAATGATGATTGGAAAAAAACCGCTCGCAATTTAATTAAAGCATGTTATCCAGATGAAAAGTTTAAAAATTTCACTGAATTTGAAGCACAACATCGAACCGAAGCAACGGGGATCCTAAGTGAGCATCCATTCCTCTTCATTAAACGGTTGAACAGATATGTTTTTATTTTAGAATTTTTGCAAGCTGCTTTTCCATTTGAAGGTTCAACCGTAACTTATACTGGATTGGCTGTGGCAATAAGTGATATGTGTCGAAAACGATTATACAATGATCATAAGAGGAATGGAACACTGCAAGCACAAACAACGGTGCAAGAACAACTAGGATTATCAACTTTATCTACGAACGAAATAGTAGATTAAATCGTGTTCTTTATCCATTTTTTCTACAGTTTACTTTGATAATAACTACTCTTTATGTGCATATGTGTGAGTGGTGGAGTTCACATCATTTTTGATAGTTTTTGTTATTTTTTCACATTGTTCATTTTTTGTATATACTTGCATATCATGTATTTGTGCTCAAAATTATGGATTTCATTTATTACTTAATGAACTTGATTGGAAACCTTATCGCTAAATATTCTATAGAATTTTAGATCACGCATATATAGCACTACATAGATTAGACTTGTTTATTAAACTAAGAAATCACACTCGGTTTACACACCAGTATAGAAATTGTGGGTGTTAAGTTCGCTTGTTTCACACATATATCTGTTCGCTTTACAAATTTATGTCATCAAGAGCGAGTTTGAGCCGTCTTCGTAAAAATCACAATGCTCGATCAAGTATTCCGTTGAATGCTCTACAATTAATAAACAGTCAGCAACCATTAACCACTTCAACACTATCTCATATTCTCACTCACACTACGAGTATGGTCTTTGTTAAGTGCGATAATCTCACTGACTAAATCGTTGTTTTCCTTGTCTGATAGCTCCTGATGTTTTTAACATTGCTAGTTCTTTGGACGTGTTACCAGACACTTCAACAAATAGTCGCTCAAACATGGATCGAAGTATGTACTATATCAAATGCCATAGTCGCTAACTTTACACACTCTTTCGATTCAAAATTTTCTCTGTAGATATCATAATTGATCGTAGAAAAACACCTAATAAGTATGATTCAGCTTCCGTGATCATGATCCACAAAATTCGTAATAGTAGTTCAAATAATACAATCGATAATATATGTAATTTATTTCAAACATATCAAACACGGGACTTTTGCCCACCATCAGATAGTGTCAAGCGAAATTTAACAAAGAAACACGATGATATTAAACGTCTACAAGCAGAATTTTCAATATGCGAGGATTGTGGTATATATGTTGAAACAAAATTAACAAAAAGTACATTATGCAGAAACTGTAATCAAAAATATTCTTATCAATTTTTTCTTGGTTCCTTAAAATCTCAATTACAACAAATATTGCATTTCAAAAAAGAAAGACCATGGCCATTTGTTTAATAACTTTTTCTAGGATGTAGCTACGGAGCTGCGGTTTTCACTAGTCGGAAGAAAACTGTTGGGGCAATAAGAAAAATCAAAAACTATTGTCCCAAAATCACCTGCAGGTGGTGCACCCTGCGAAGATATCTTGCAAAATTTGTCACACCACTGAAAAAGTTTCGAATTTTAACTTTTGAGACGGCAGGTAGGTAGCCCGGACTGAGATATTTGTTTCTAGAGGGCACCCAACAACCGCCTTTTCTAAATTTCACATTTTTAGTAGCGGCCGCGCTGCACCGTTTCGATCTCAAATTCCTGGCATAAACTCGTAGGACGTAAGAGCTTAAGAACAGATGATAAGCGAGTGCCTAGGTTCGAACTTGTCAGAGAGCATAATTTTTATTTTTTTCTACCCTATTTCGCTGCAAATTTTATTAAAATTTTTTTACCGGAGTGTTGGTCATATATCGGAGCCAAACTAGTACCGATCAATAAATAAATTCGAAAACGCAAACGTTTTTTCGTTCGAACTGTGAGAATTTTATATTTCATTTCGTTTTCCTTTAAAAAACCAACAACAAGAATATATTTTTATTTAAAAACGAAAACATGAAACATGAAAACACTTTTGATGTTCAACAGCATTAGTTGTTACAGCTGGTTCAAGAATGAAAGAAAAAACCCAGACAGCCAAAAAGAAAGTTCTCATCAAAAACATAGAATAAGTTTCGCATATACAGATAGAACGAAGCAAACGAATGATCATTTTTACCCGCTACTTGTAAACAGCTCAGTTCTCTTCACAGACAGTATACTTTTTTTATGATTAATGAGAAAATATATCCTAGTTCACAAAAAATAAACGTTTTTTCAATTGTTTAACAACCCACCCTCATTTTGTCTTGCCATCAAACATATATACATTTTTCTATTCTAAAATTAAGCAAATAAAAATGTGATCGATTAAATAAACACCGAAATATTATATGCGCTTACCACGTTAATCTAATTGATGATAATGAGGTTTATCTATAGATGAATCCGATGCAAATAAATCTTGATTTAATAGTGCTGATATATCACTGACACTTGGTAAACCTGTCGTTGAACGTGGTAATTTCAATGCATCACCTTGTAATTGTGTACTTAATTTGATTAATGATACCAATTGTTGTAAACTGCATGCAATACTGTGTAGTGATGCTGTACGATTATGTTCTGCTACCAATGACAATTCTTGAATATGTAATTTCTTCTTTTCCACTTCAATAATTGAATTGATTTCATCGTCAGTTTTTTTAAATCTTTTTCGATGTTTAGACGACGTTGTTTTTGAATCCTCGTAAGAATGGTCATGAGAAATAATACGACGAATAGGAGTGTCGAAGGTGGTTGTACGATGTGTTATATTGGACAATAATCGACGACCAGCAGCAGCCGTTGTTGGCGACTGCGAGTCATTATGATCAGACGAAGGTGAGGATGTCGATAACATAAGTTCATCATCAGCCCGTGATGGTGATCGGGAAGATTGCTGTGTGCCACTGCTAAAGTAGAAGAAACGATTCAAAAATTAACGAAAATTTAGTCGAAATGTAGAAAAATTTACTGCTTACTTTTTGTCCGTATCTATTCCGCCAGGAATTCCGTCTACTGATACGTTGCCTAAAAAGAGATACAAAAGAAAATTTATAGTCTACAGTATACGTTAACAGTGCATAAAGAATAACATTTGAATCTACGGAAAAATACAAAAACAGATCAGTGGTCTTACCCATTATACCTATAACCATGGTTTCGATCGAATCAAGTCCAATATCCGCAGGACCACCACCCGTTTTGTCGGTGGACCGTTTAATATCACTTGCTCTTTTTTTTATGTCGCCACTAAAAGAAATCGAGAATAACTCATGAGACAATAAATCGAAGAAGAGTATCAAAAAACAGTTCTATTACCTATAATTTGTCCATTTTTTTTCTGCATTCTTCAATACTTCGCTCAGCACAGCCCGCTGCCGAGACCGATTCAGCTATTTGCTGCCATAAACAATTTTTCTTATTATTTGAAACGATATAAAAAGATATAATGCACTTAACACCGCTCTCATTGAGACAAGCGAAGCCATTCTGGAAAAGCGTTTAAAGAAGAAACAACCTGCATGGGTCAGCAACGCCACACTCGAACTCCTAAACAAACAGGAGGAAGCTAAACTTAAGCATAAGAAATCTCCATCAGCAACTAACAAAGCAATCTGGATACAGCTACAGAAACAAGTATCCAAGTCATACGAAAACGATAAGACAGCTGATCTAAACCACCAACTCGATAAACTCGATCTAGCGGCCACAAGACGAGAGTATGGCACAGTTTGGCAAATTGTAGGCTATCTGTCTGAACAACCAAAGAAACCGGTCACAGTTCGCAATCTAGATGGAAAAATACCGAGTAATAAGAACGAAACGCTAGGAGAATGGGCCAAATATTTCTCCAGCCTACTCAACAACACCAACCTCAGAGCAAACTCGAATGACTACCCATCATCAACAACAAATAATCCTATGATCCCAACTACTAGGATAATCCGCAGTGAGATCCAGACAGCAATCAATAGTCTAAAGAGGACTACATCCTAGAAAAAGTTATTAAACCATGGTCTTTCTTTTTTGAAATGGATAATAATAACTGGTCAAGAAAATAAACGTAATAAGCTAGTATTAAATGGTCGAGAAACATCAGATCATCTTCAAAAATCAGACGAACAACTACATTTAGTTCTATTCAAATTAAAACAATTAAATTTTCGTGACAAACAGAAAAATATTATACTCTATTTTACAAATCATTTCTTGCCGTCTATTGCAGAGTATTCGCAATTACAGTATGGAAATTCTTTTAACGAGTATACATTTTCACCATTGAAGAGTGAAACTAGTCAGTTATAAGTGGTACGGATTTTTCACAGTCGAGTTACGACAAGTCTTTGTTTAACTAGATTAGAAGTAACTGTATGCGACTTAATACCGAAGTACTGAAGAAATAATGTTTTAACTGTATTATTCATTAGAAATATAGCAATCATTTCTCCTGTAGCCGCCAGATATATACACAAGAGAACAACAGAGTAAAAGGACCAAGGAATCGCGCCGATTTTATTCCAAAGTACAGCTATGGCGTACGGAGATCCGCCAATGATTAAAATTCCTACTAAGACAAGAATATTGTGAAATACTTTAGCATCCCGATTGATGCGTTTCGTTATTAAACCATCGGATGTTTTTATTTCTGGTTGAACTTTTGTGCGAGCTGATGCTTGTCGAGCATAGTGGACGACTCGTGTATATAGGATTATAATACCGATTAGAGGAACAAAAAATACAATGACAATTGTGTAGAATGATGTTAGAAACGTTTTTGTAGTGATAAAACAGAATTTTGATTCGATCTCGAACTGGAGACCATCGCTGGAGATGGGCAAAACAGCCACGATTGTCATAGTTAGCCATCCAACACCAATTAATTTGAAATGTGCTTTGAATGTCAGCAGATGTTTTCGCTTGTACAAAACTGTGTGCCAATAACGTGAGATTGCGCTAACAAAATACGAAATCGGCTTGCCACCACATCCCATTGTTAGAAAAGCCCCACGAATGATACACGACGTTTTATTTTGATAATCGTTATAAGACGATTGATTAATAATATATGGGAGTTGCCATAAAAAGTTCAAATAACAGATGAGAACTGCGAGACTTGAATTGCACGAGCATAGATTCGACGCTGTGAAACATTGACTTCGATTGAAGAAAACGGTAAGATTAAATGCAACAACGAAAAACGTCCCAATCAACGTTAATATCGAAAATAGTGTTGACGTTACAATAAAATAACTATACGGAATGGAAGCCTCTGCTCCTGTTAAATTGCTCATGTTAGATTTTCAGTTAGAAGAAACAACTCAGTCAGTTTTTATTTTGAAGAAAAACCAATTTATTGTTCTCCTTAATTGTCATTAATAATATAGCTAATTCATGCAAAGTGATGCATATGACTAAAGAGAAAATGAGTACTTAACTCTCTTCGTGTGCACTTTCACATTTGAAAGACACATAATACCCTCATTCACTGTATCTTATTTATATAATATGGAATTTCTGTAACAAACAGTCATGCATCATTTTCGAGTGCGTTGTCTTGTACTGCAATTTTGCATACAAAAATGAGGGGCTTTTTTCCGTTTTATTGCGATGCACTGCATATATTATGTTTTCTGATCTTAAATTTTTCTTCCTCTGACAAATATTTTCAGATTTTCAACGTGTGTCATAATGTCATTTAGACGCATTTTTTACTGAAGAAATCTCGTTTCTTGGCAACACACCAACTCCTTGGGCTCGAGAATACCAGAAAACACAAATGTCAGCTTCAAGAAAGCTCTCTCTCTCGAAGGAGAACTAACCAGCTTAAGGGATAAATTCTGCTCAGATGCCCTGGTTAAATGAGTTGGAAGTCTTCTCTCTTCGCATATGTTGAATGAGTTCACCCATTTAAATACCTCAAAAATCTTTTGTTCATCTCATTTATGCACACTGCTTTTTATTCTTTCACATGGGTTAGAAACTAATGCAGACACTCTCCAAAAACAGAAATAGCAACCACAGCCATTAGGGAACCACTGTTACTTCTTTCTAGCAATATCATTCCATTTCTCTCGCCGCGGGTTAGAAACTAACACAGTGAACTCTTGCCGCAGTTACGTCACCGAAAATCTGAGTGGACATGCACGAATACCCAACTATTATGATTTGCCGACGTAATACTGAGAACTGTGATGCATTTTATTAAAGTGAAACTTAAGTTTTTTGATGAAACTGGCTCCAGGCATTTTTCCGTATTTTGCGCAACGACAGACAATCATGTTGTGACACCCTAGATTAAAGTTACGGGAAAACAGTATGGTAACTGACGACAAGAGGCACTGGCGAACACCCAATAATAGCCGAGTGCACTTACACAGCGCTCTCTCTTCGTTTTCGTGAGCGGAAAAGAAAATTGAAAAACGGGCCAGATCGCTTTTCAATACTGAGCATTTAAAATCTTGTGCTCCGTCATTAGATTTGACCGTTTACTTTCATGCTCGCTTAGAAATATGTTCGAGTTTGAGGAATTTCGAGTGAGCAAAGTCTTATCCCACAGAAAATGACATTCTAAACAGCTCTTGTAGCCCGTCTTGCTCCAAAATGCTTCCTTTTCGCAGAACTACAGGCAAGGCAGTGTTGAGAAAATATTTTCTGTTCTAAATCACATTACGACACACTTTGGAAATTCCTCAAACTCGAACATATTTCTAAGCGAGCATGAAAGTAAACGGTCATAAAAATCTAATGACGGAGCACAAAATTTTAAATGCTCAGTATTGAAAAGCGATCTGGCCCGTTTTTCAATTTTCTTTTCCGCTCACGAAAACGAAGAGAGAGCGCTNGGTGTTCGCCAGTGCCTCTTGTCGTCAGTTACCATACTGTTTTCCCGTAACTTTAATCTAGGGTGTCACAACATGATTGTCTGTCGTTGCGCAAAATACGGAAAAATGCCTGGAGCCAGTTTCATCAAACAACTAAAGTTTGACTTAAGTCGACGACTTAAGTGAAAAACTAAGAAAAAGTTAGGAGACACTTAAGTCAAACTTAAGTTTCGCCCTAAGTGTGTTTCAGTAAGCACAACTTAAGTATGACTTAACACTTAAGCAAATATCTGACTTAAGTTGAATTATGGCTAAGATGAACCAATCAAAAGACAAAATTGTTTTGGAGGAGGATTTTTTTCAATCATGGCACACAGGTTCATCCATAGAAACTCATACTTCTATAAGTTTAAGCAATTTTAGCATAATGTTCGAAGTTTTGCACACTGTTTTCAAGGAGGAGCGCACCCAGCGAGAGTAAAGTGTATATGCATTATGTATATTAGGAATACACCTTGATTTTCCATGGATACACTCTGTAATCAAATGAGTGAATTCAGAGTGTGATAGAAAATTTGTATTTGAACTTGATACACTGTGAACAATAATTGGTGATGAATTAATTCCAGGTGCTGTAGTGGTTGAGGATGACATTGATGATTCATCATGACAATGTCAAACGGGTTGCTGTTCAATTTGAAATAAGGTTTGATCAATCGATGGTTGGAAAGCCTTCAGAATATCGGCTTTAAATGTAGACCAATGTAGAATGCTAGATTTTCTAAAACAATACCACTTAGCATCAGTATCAATTAAAAACCATTGTATAGCTAAATGTTTGTTCGATGGTTGTAATTATACTCAATTAAATGCATCTTCGGCACGAATACCACCAAAATTAATAAGTTTGTTGATTTGCTCTTGAGCAATCAACTTACCGTAGTGTTTGCCCATAGTTAATAATAAAACTGCATGATAAACAATAAGACTAATAGCAATTTCAGATGGATGAGAAAAAAATCGATAGCTATATCAAATAAGTATTGTCCTTCTTGTTGACATAGTTGATGATAAAAACCAGCAATTATCATAAATATTCCAATCCTAGTGGTAAGCGAAACACATAGATGCTGGAACAATACACAACAATATACTGATTAATACTACATGGTAACATCTGTGCAAATCACAATATGAAGATAATAAACATAACGATGGATATTAACCGTCTATTGATCATGTAAATTTAATACGATGAGAGATCGTAATAAGTTGTAACGAGAAACAATATAAGATTATTCTGTTTCGCTCAGGATCGATAAGCATGCATTCGAATTTCGAAAGCTTCGACATCGACTAGTTGATCTTTGATCAATGTTTCCTCCTTTCTCTAGCTATGATATCTAATAGATTGAAGACCGCTTAAACGACTGTTTGAGCGTTACGAAACTGGCCATGGTTGTTCGTAATAATTGGTCGAAACAACAACTCGATGACTATCTTGATCAACATCACGAACCGAATGCTCATCCACAAGCTCACGTGAACAACCGATCGATGAATCAATCACATGTCGTCGACAATCGATCAATTGTCGATGCACTTGAACAAATATCTGACAACGAAATGCCCAGCACACCCATTCCAGTCTAACGAGTCGTCACTATCATGCCATTCTCGAATCCATCGGATAATAATCCAACTGAAGTCGAACAATTACCATCGACCACAAGCAAACCGAAGAAAAAACGTACGCAAGAGGCTAAAAATCGACGCGGAAGAAAAACAAATGCAATTCGTCGAGCCCATCGTCACGATTTCGATATCGTCCGAAGAATCATTACCGTTTCAAAGTACAACAAATCGAAAAAATTCTCCGTGGTCTTTACGTTCGATTTCGACATTGCTACATCCGCCGCAACTATCAACTCCATATTGGTCTACACTCCCGCGAAGATCAATTGCACTATGAATTGATACTAGGTGCAAAATACTTCACAAGAGAACACTACCACCAAATCAATCGACTCACCGATCACAACAACGACCACCGTACCCCCAACGATAAACAGAATGAACTGAACATCCGCTATAAGCGGCATGTTTACATCCATTGTTTCGTCACGTTCGATTGATCGGCTACAACCATTGTTCAGTTCTCAAATCCGGGTGTGGACACCCTCATCTCTCGGTGGGGAGGGATGTTAGGGGCCGCTCTCTGGCGTCCCAACAGCTATGTTTTCACTTTCGTCGTTTCCCCCTTTCGTTCGCTTCCTTACTTCATTCGTTTGTTCGCCATCGATATGTATATCGATGACTCATCAGCTCTCTCTCTCTCGCTATGTATTAGTTGTGCTTGTCGTTTTTCCATCTCGCGACTAGGTCGCTCTCTCGTTTGTTGTTCGTGTGTTCTTCATTGGTTTTCTCTTCGGGAACATGATGCAACACATTTCAAAATTAGTTAGAATTTGAGCTCAAAATAAGTGCAGGATTCTATTCACATCTCTCAACTCGCTCTCTGTGCACTTATTCTGAATAAATTATAATTCAACTTCTTCAAGTTAAAATAAGAATAAGAATATATTCGGTTCACTACTGGGTTTACACGATTTACTGTCCGCGGATTTACTGTCCGTTGATTAATTTCTATTTTAATTAGGTTTTTTTCATAGAAAAGTATAATTTTCTTATATAGGGATTTACTTTCGGTTGATTACATATAGATATATTCCAATTTAGCTATTTTCTTATATACGGATTTACTTTCCGTTGATTATATGGAAATATATCTCAATTAGACACTTTCTTATATAAGGATTTAATTTCCACTAATTATTTGGACGAAAAGCAATGAATGAGCAAATGAATATTCATTGCGACAACGAATGTATTATAAGAAAAAAAAATATTATTGGTGTTTATTAGTAAAACGAAAAAAGATTTTTTTAACTTTTTGATGGACGTTGAAAATATCTCATACCGGCAGCTTTCAGGAACGCTGGAATGTCAATACGCCCGTCATCATAATGTTGCCATAACTTCATCAGACATTCTTCTGTAATAACTTTGTTTCTTCGACGTTTTGGAGCTGGAGCGCCCATACCATCTCGTACTCGTGCAATAGATGCTAGTGACTGTTCCTTTTGGAGTAAATCAATAGCAATATAAATGTTTGGATGAGGTGAACTTACGTGTTTTTTCATTCGAGAATGTCGACCTTCCAAATAATTAATTGTTCGAGGTGTTATATTACGATAATGGT